TATTAATAACAGATATTAGATTGTCTCTAGTTAATTAAAAACTTATAATAATTAACAATTACTATATCCCACACTGATTTAACCCTATGAACATCCAGAAAATAGTTGTCCAATTTAATTGTAAGAACTCACAGAGACATATTTAAATATAACAACTATTCAATCTTCATAGACAAGAAAAAGATACTGGTTGTCTCAAATCTATCTTATGCATGTTAAGTCAGATTTCAGCATTTCAGAGAAGGCAACTTGGTGGTGCCTAAGTCAATCATTAGAACGTCTGTTCTGTCAGAGGCAAGGGGCAGGCCTTCAGAAGAAGATTCCTCCACGGCTCCTGAGAACTGGTGATTTCAGGGAAAAAAGTAGTGAAAATTTTCTACTGATAATTCAGCCTCTATCTCACAAACTTGAGTGGTAGGGAGCCCCTTTAGCCTTCTCTCTATCTCTGTCTCTCTCTGCCTCTGTCTTCTTATATTTCTGTAATTTTTTCATTTAAAAAAATTTTTAAGGTGAAGTATTTTCTCAGCTTTCAGTCCTGCCTTTATCTCGCTAATAATCTCCTCTCCCTCTCCCACCCAGTAGAGGCAAGGGGCAGGCCTTCAGAAGAAGATTCCTCCATGGCTCCTGAGAACCAGTGATTTGGGGGAAAAAAAGATTGAACCACAACAGAAGATAGATTAGATACATGAGACTGAACTGGTGAAATAGCATTTTATGACTTTTGACTAAAACATTGCTGATTTTCTTCTAGGCTTTATTTTTCGGTTTTAAGGATTTTTGTCCTGTCTTGAGCTGTTGATAGGTTCAGGTACTTACTATTTGAACAGAATCCTAACCTATTTCCTGGCTTTAAGTTTTAAGCAAAGTTCCTTAGCATTTCTTTGATTTGTTAAAGTTAAAACTGCTTTTCTTGAAATTAAAAAAAAAATAAAAAGAACTACTGCCTGTCACTAAAAAGGACCCACAATGGCAGGACAAACTGCACCAAATGTTACAAAAATATTCATGAGAATATTTTACCTGATATGTTCAACTAGTAACAAAACCTTGCCTTATTTATATTCATAGCCTCTAAAAAACTGTAAAAGTAGGATAAGGACTATGTACTAGAAATACACAGTATTCACATGCCAAAATTTAAAGGACTTAAAATGTTCAGTCTGTAATTTTCTGGTTGTATTATATTTTCTTTTACCAAAAGATGAATTTACTGATCATTGCAATAAAAATGTTTATGGGTTTTATTTTCCCCACATGAGGAATACATTCAATAACTTCTGATAATAGAGGCACCCACTTCACAGATGAAATACTTAAGCAGTCATATAAGGTTCTCCTTTTAAAACAAGAACTTATTTGTGTGTGTGTGTGTATATATATGTATACATATATATACACACACACACACATACATATATACATATACACACATATACATATGTAATATATATGTATATTCCCCAAGGTCTGGAAAGGTAAAACAAACCAATGTTGTAAGTTAAAACTGTAAGGAATGGGCCAACCACACGAGAAAATAGAAATGTAGAGCCTTTATTGGGAGCACTCCCAGGCAAGGTTCACTAGTTCAACAGAGAGAGAGAGGGGAAGAAGGGCCAGAGAAGTCATGCCCTAGGGCGGGGTTTAGTGATTTTTATAAGGGTATAGGGAGGGGGAGTGTCTTAGAAGTAGAAACAATCCCTGTACGGTAAAGATTTAGGGGAAGAGCAAACTACTGTGCCATGTAAGGTCTGGTGACATGTGCAGAGAAGAGCCCCATGTGCAAAGTAGAGTACCATGCGCAGAGTAGAGTGCATGTGCTACATCAGGGTTAGATCTGAGTGCAGACTAGATTTGGATTGCATCAGCTGACTGTGGCATGGCATCCAACCCCACATCCAAACTGCCCAGGCCTCCAGCCTAATAAAAACTGAGGTATTTGTGGCAGATGGGCACATAATCTAGCAAGCAAGAAATCTAGTTAGAGCACCAACATTCTAGGATCAAGGAATAAGACTTACAGTAATAACAGAAATTTAGAAATCTGGATGTTGAGGAAAAATCTGTAAAGGCAGTGAGAAGGAGAGCATGTTACAGAAACCACATGAAAAAAAGTATTTTTAGGAAAAGCTGCTAATAAAAATACCAATCTAGGAATAAGTCTAATTAATAATGCAAATATCTTATTACACCAACTATGAAACATCATTAAATAAAATTAAAGACTTAGATAAATGAAGGGATCTACCATGCTCACAAATTTGTTAACTTACTTTGTAAAGATTTCACTTTTTCCAAAATTGATCTATAAATTGAATGCAGTAGCAATCAAAATCCCAGCAGCAGTGCATGTGTGTACATGCATATGTGTGCCTAGATTAACAAGATGATTGTAAAGTGTCAGAAGGGATTTCAGAAATATTGTGGAAAAACAGAATTAACATGAGTTTATTGTGGTGCAAAATTTTTTTAAATTCATGCATAGCTTTCTCATAATATACATTGCCCATGAACTTTTTTATTCTTAATTGACACAGAATAATTATACACATTCTTGGGGGTACAATGTGGTGGTTCTTAGCACATAAATACAATTCTGGGGGCTGGCGAGTGGCATGGTGGTTAAAGGTGCTGGACTCCCACATGGCCAACCACGGTTCAAGTCTCGGACCTGGTGGCTTGCTTTCTCACTTCCTCTCTCTCTCTCTGTCTCTCTCTGATCAAACTGAAAAATAATAATGATAATAATAATAAATTTTTAAAAAGTTAAATAAAATAATTCTTTAAAAAAATAAAAAAAAATAAATAAGTACAATTCTGAATAAAACAGTGACAGTAGTAGGGACTCTAAGTATGATGACTTCAAAACATTGCAACATTTTTTTTTTTTTGCTGCTTAAACTAAGTTATAAACTTAGTAATTTTTTTTCCAAAATAATTTGCTCTTAGTTGGCAATAGGCAATGTGGAATATGCAATTTTGATTTATCTCCTTCACCTCCAAGACAAGATCAGCAATCTAAAAACAACCTCAAGTTAGTATGACTAATTTAGGCTTATGAAGGCGAAAGTAACTGGTCAAAGTCAATGGCTAATTCCTCAATGGAATCAACAGGGGAATTTAAGGCCTCCTAATCAATCTTCAATTTGATAAACATCTTTGGTGTTTATCAAGGTACAGGTTTTCAAAGATGTCTGCTGAAGTAAAAGGTAATGAGAAAAGATGTTCTTTTCCTTTGTTGGGAAGGGACTATATTAGAAACTTGGTTGGGTATTAGAGCTCACAGTCATTGAATTGGGGGTTAGGGCTGGTCTCTAGTCTTATCAAGGAACTAAAGCAATGAGAGGACAGACAATAGAGATCTAAGCAAAAGTGAGCAATTAAGCTCCAGGGACATAGAAAGACATTCTATGATAGGAATTTTACTGGGCCAGTCTGTGTTGTAGTGGTTAAGACAGCTAGATCCTACATGGACAACTCCATGGTTTGAGTCCCAGATCTGGTAGCTTGAAAAACACGCTAAGTATATATGTGTATGTGTCCAAAATCCTAAAAGCTGAGAGAAATGAAGAAGAGTTTGCAGCATGACTATCCCCCACAGTGGGTTCTTTCTCACTTTCCCTCCCTCTGGAGAGCACATGCACCTTTGGAAAATTAAAAACAAACAACGATGACAACCCAAAGAATTCTACCCATACAGTGACAAAATTAGGAGGCTACATTTCCATGTTAGTTTCTAGATGCTCAGAATAAGGACAGCAGATAGCTTCCCAACTCTACTTCTGGTAGATGAAATACCATCAAAAGCATATCTAGGCTTTGTTATCAGTAATTAAGCCCTGGGCAAAATTGAATCTAACACATGGCAAATATCTTAAGGGCAGCTGGGGCAGGGTGCAAGCAAGCATAATGTTCTCAAGAGTATTATCATTTCAAATAGCCTTTATCTTTTTGAGCAACAACAAACCAGAATGGTACAGAATATGTAAATCAATTCTGCTACCAAGTTGCCCACATGTCCAAACATGAAAATGGACTTAATCTGGAAATGCACTTCAAGTTCCAAGGTAGATTTTGTATAAAGATTCTTAGGCTCTGATTTGTGTTTCTTTATTCAAAGCAATCAATTTTTCTCCCTAAAAGACTTGCACTTGCTATATTTCTTCTTAGTTATGGTTTTTTGGTGCTTGTATACCTAATAGATATCATCTTTTCTATTATGTTTTATAATTGCTTATTACTGATTTATATAAAATATTATTATGTTAATCTTTAAGTATAGTGTAGTGTACTAAGTGCATGTACTAAGTGATCAATGGCTGTTTAATATTACTTGTATGGAAACAATGACATCAACTGCAAATAATGATAATGTTATCCTTTTCTTTCCAATGCCTGCATTTCTTATTTTTCTTGTTACATTACAAAGTCTGGGGTCTCTAGTACTGAACAGAGTTAACAGCAGGTGGGGTCAACAGGTGGCATGGTGGTTAAGGCATCAGACTCCCACACAGCCAACTGCAATTTAAGTCTCAGACCTGGCAGTTTGCTTTCTCATTTTTCCTCTCTCTTTCTCTCTCTTCAGTCAAATTAAAAAAAATAGTAATAATCAGGGACCAGCAGATGGCACAATGCTTACATCGCTGAACTCCCAAGTAGTCAACTGCAGTTCAAGTCCCAGACCCAGCAGCTCAAAACTTTTAGGCCAGGAGCATGTACATGTGTGCCCAAGATCCTCAGAGGAGAATGGAGAAGGGATTACAGCATGGCCATCCCCTCAGGAGGTGATTTCTTGCTTTTTGTCTCTCTGTCTCTCTCTGGAAGTGCACATACCGTATAGCAAAAATATAATTTAAAAAATTTATAAAAAATCATCATAGTAATAAATGAAATTAAATAAATAATTCTTTTTTAAAAAAAGAATTAACAGTAGATATTCTCTTGGTCTGACTTAAATAGAGATGCTTCTAATGTTTCAGCATAGGTTTAGTACTTATAGGTTTTTTATTTTCTTTGACAAGTAAATTCACTTATTTTCCTAGTTTGAGGAGATTTAAGTATCATGAAGTATGTTTTAATTATATCATGAATAAACATTAATTGGATGATTTTTCTGAATCAGTTGAGATGACCATATTTCTCCCTCTGTAATCAAGAAATATAGAACATTATTGCATTTTTAGATGTTAAAGCATCTTTGCACTACTGAGATAAATCCTACTTAGTCATGAGTTTTTTATAAGCTAAATTTAGTTGGTCTATTCATAATAGTGATCAACATATAACATCCCTTTCTTGTAGCTTTGTCTAGTTTTGATATCAAAGTTACATTGCCTTAATAAAAATGAGTTGAGTAGCTATCTCTCTTTTCCATTGTTTGATAGTTTGTATATAAGAGGACTTGCCTGTTTCTTGACAGAATGGATATATAAAACCATCTGTAGCCAATGTCTTGAATCAGTTTGGGAAAATGGTTAATGGTTTACTCAGGTTATTCTTTCTTCTTGATATAATTTTGGTTATTTACTCATTTCTAGAAAAAGTTTTTTTTTTTTTTTTGAGAGGTTTTTTGCTATAGGGCATGTGCACTTGCCAGAAAGACAGAGACAGACAGAAAGTGAGAAATCACTCCGCAGAGGGGATGGCCATGCTACAATCCCTTCTCCTCCATTCTCCTCTCAGGATCTTAGGCATGCCCGCAAATGCACCTGGCATGAGTTTAAGCCACCGGGTCCAGTACTTGAACCATGGTCAACATGTGGGAATCCAGTGATATAACCATTATGCAATATACTGGTCCCTGTTTTGTCTGTTCTTAATCTTCAAAACTTTCCAAGCATTCTCTGATTCTTTAAAAAATCTTCGCTAAATCTAATTATCCCCTTTATCATTTTTAAAAGAATGATTTATTCTATTTATTTTTTAATTTGATCAGAGAGAGAGAGCAAATAAGTTGCTAGATTCAGGTCTCGAACCATAGTCAGCCATGTGGAAATCCAGTCCCTCAACCACCATGCCACCAGCTTTTATCACTTTTAATACCGTACATATATTTTATCTTTTCCTCAGTCTTGCTAAAAATATACCATTTTTAAAAGAATCAGCTCTTAATTTTGTAGAGTCCATATTACTTGTTTTCTACTATAATAAGTTCTGCTCATGCTTAATTACTTCCTTTACTTATGAAGTTTATTTCTTCCTTTTATGAGAGACAGAGATAGAGATTTATAGAGAGAAACAGAGGGAAAATTACCCTAAAAGGGTCCTGCCATAAACCATGCCTAACCTCAGCCAGCCAGGATCATACAGAAAACCAGAACCTTCCCATGTGACTTCAACATTGCAGAGCATTGCATTTACCTCTTACTTTATTTAGGCTTACTTTATGTCTTTTTTTTTTTTTTTTAAATCTTTTTAAACTTAATTCTTCACTTATTTTTGTCTTTAAAAAATGTACTTAAGGTAGTCAATTCTCCCCTAACTTAAGCCAACATATTTTAGTATGTGGTCCTTATGAAAGAGTTCAAATATTTTATTTGGCCCAGCTGCAGTGGCACGAGGACAAAAATGGGCAAAGTTGGAAAGAAACTGCTACTGATTAAATTTGGTAACTTGCGAAGTATTTAACAAGTGGTTGGTACATAATAGTGCATGCCCAAAATCCTGAAGGAAGGAGAAATAGAGAAGAGACTGCAGTATAACTATGTCCTTTTGAAGAGAATTTTCTTCCTTTCCCTCATTTTCTGTCTGTCTCTCTCACATGCTTTCTGTCAGAACATGAATTTCAAAAATAAGTGCCAAGGGGACCAGCAGTTAACGTAATGGCTATATCGCTGGACTCCCATGTAGTCAACCGCGGTTCACATCCAGGACCTGGGGCTTAAAACTCACGCTGGGCGCATGTGCGTGCGTGCCCAAGATCCTGAGAGGAGAATGGAGGAGAAGGGATTGCGGCGTGACCATCCCCCGTGGGGGGTGATTTCTCGCTTTCTGTCTCTATGTCTGTCTCTGTCAGTCTGGCGAGCGCACGCGCTGTATAGCAAAAACCTCTCCCCCAAAAAAATAAGTGCCAAGGAAATAACAGACAAGTATGTAGTGATGCAAGTTCAATGATAGTTATTATATTCATGTTTAAACAAATAAAAATATTAATCTATATGTTCTATATTAAACTGAAGAACTAAATTACTATATTTAGCATGTAGATTATAGAAACATGAAAAATGATGGCAATTATATATTCATATGCAAAAATGTTCAGATCTATTACACTTTCAAAAGGCAGATACAAACATAGGTAATAGGTAATAAAACCTAACTCTAAAAAATGATTGTAAATATATAGTTATATTGCATGTACAGAGAAAAGTATAAAAGCTCTGCACCAAAATATTGGGAGGCCTGGATAAGGTTCTTGTCCCAGTCTAAACAGAGTAGGCAAGGTGGCACACACAGTCGCAGCTAACTGGAAGGCTGGGGCAGGCGGATTAGGACTTGAGATCTTGTCAAAAATACCTATCTTTTTCTCTCTCTCTCCCACATGCTCTAATGAAACACACACACACACTTACTTTGATTTCCTCTTAATTTATGAATCACTGGAGTCCATCTTTAAGTTTCTTGTTTTTTGTTTTTCTTGGGAGAGGTTTTGCTATAGGGCACGTGGGCTTGCCAGAAAGACAGAGAGAGAAAGTGAGAAATCACCCCCAGGGAGGATGGCCATGCCGCAATCCCTTCTCCTCCATTCTCCTCTTGGGATCTTGGGCACGCACACACATGTGCCCGGCATGAGTTTACGCCACTGGGTCTGGAACCTGACCTGCAGTTGACTAAAGGTGCAGGGACATAGACATTACACCAACTGCTGGTCCCCGATCTTTAAGTTCCTAAATGTATGGAAACTTGCTAGAGAACACAACATATATGATATTAGCTCAAAGAAATTTGATGAAATTTCTCTTTGACCTTGAATATAAATTTTTGCAAATGTTCCATGTATACTTCAATTTTAAAAATCGTTTTTGTATTTGTTCAGCATAAAGGTACGTATCATGACACTTGCTAATAACAATAATAATAATAATAAAACATATTATTGATTTTCTGATTGAACCACTAATTTCTGATGGTGCAATGTTAAAATTTCCTGATGTGATTAAAATTTAGTCAGGTTTTAGTTGTTGTTCGGCAGAGAATACATGCATTCACTGGAGAGAAAGGAGGGGGAGAGAGACAGTGACAAAGAAAGAAACCTCCTTCGCCCATGAGGAGTGGTCACATCACAATCCCTCCTCCTCCATTTCTCCCTCCTTTTGGGATTTTTGGGCATGTATACATATGCACTGGGGTGTTTTACAGGTTGCCATGTCTGGGACTCGGCTCTCACAACTGGCCATGTGGGATCCAGTGACTTCAGCCACCACACCAGCGGCTGGTCATCAGTTTTTAAATATATCTGTTATTTTTCTCTTTATGGGTCTTGACTCTGTTATTAAGTACATACAAATATTTTCTATCTCTTTATTTTCAATCTTCTGTGTGGTCCTGACTTAAAATGTTTCTTATAAGCAATGTATATTTCAGAAGGTGCTATTATGATTAGTGATATATTTACGTGATTTGTTATATCCTACTTATCTTTTTTTTCTCCTTCCACCCTTCTATTGGGTTGATAATATTTGCTGTTTCCTTTTCTCCATAACTACTACTTAGGTGTCCATAGCATCTAACACATGTGAAATGTTTCTCATGATTAGCAGTTATGTACACCTCTCACTATATCTCTATTCCAGCTTTTGTGGGTGGCTGCTCGTATTTTTAAGGTGCTTTCTAGGATCCTTTAAGGAAATACCTTGTATACTACTTAGTCTGCCATGTTCAGGCAGCACATTCCATATATATTTTCTAATTTTAGTGAGATTCTGTTCTGTTTATTACTATTATTATTATTATTTAGTTTTTTGTTATGGAGTGTGTGCACTTGTCAGAGGGAGACAGAGAAAGGGAAAGTGAGAAGTCATCTGTTTGGGGGATGGCCAAAATCCCCTCTCCTCCATTCTCTTCTTTGGATATTGGGCCCTTCATGTTTTTTCAAGCCACAAGGTGCAGGACAAAACCAAAAACTCACCCTTGTGGGATCCAGTACCTTAATCAACATGCCACCTGCTGGCTCTCTGGTCTTTTTTACATGATAACAAAATTTTCCACATTATAAGTATATAAAAGTAAAAAATAATGTATGTAATAATGGAATTATTTGAAACCTAATTTACATCAAATTAATACAAGGTTCTCTGCTTTAACTTAATATTTTTTCCCTCTAATTCCACTATGAAAACCCTATTCTCTTGCCATTGTTTGAAACTTAAAAGTGTTTTATGTAAGGGGTTTTCAAACACAGACATTTCTCAACTTATGGTTGAAGCTACACCCTCATTAACTATCATAAGTTGAAAATATTGTAAGTCAAACCTATTTGTTGCTTTTATGTGTTGTAAAGTCAAAAAATTGTAAGACAACCATCGTAAGTTGGGAATGTTGGTATATTACCTGAAGAACAGACAGACAGGGGAAAAAAAAAAGATAGTACTGCAGTGGAAAACTATCAAATAGTTGGATATCTTAATTAATACATATAAAATTCAACATGACCATTAATCAAAACACACAACTTAAAGCAAGTTATAAATTTTCACCTATTTGTCAAGGACAAAAAGTAAGTAAAGTTGGAAAGAAATTGCTATTGATTAAATCTGATAACTTATAAGGTATTTAAGTGGTCAGTACATAGTAATTACTTAAAATATATTAAGTATGTTATTATTACTCTCAGTATTTTTTTTTTTTAAATTTGACAAGGCTAGAGGAAAGGAAACTGGTAAAACAGTTCTCTAGAGTATATAAAAATCCTTAAAAATGTTTATTCCCTGGCACAGCTTCATGGCCTGGTGGTTGAGGCAGCTGGATTCTACATAGTCAACTGCATGGTTCAAATCTCAGACTCAGTGGCTTGAAAAATACACCGTTTCCATGTGCATGCATACCCAAACTCTCCAAGGGAGAGATGTGACTGCTTTGTTAGGGAGACCTTTCTCCCTCTCACTTTTTTTCCCATCTCTCTATCTCTTTCTCTCTTTCTAGCCAGCACACATGCCTTCTGGCAAAGTTTTTTAAAAAAGGTTTACTTCCCTTAAACCAGGCAGAACATTAATTTCAGGAATATGTGCCAAGAAAATAATTAGATAAGTATATAGCGATGCAAGGTCAATGATGTTTATTATATTACCTTTCAAACAAGTAAAAATATTAAGCTACATGTTCTACAATATTAAACTGCACAACTAAATTACTAATTTAGCAAATAGATTATAGAAACATTAAAATGATATCAATTATATATTCATATGGAAAAATGTTCATGATTTTCAAAAGGCAGATACAAACTTATATGTGCAATAAAGCCCAACTCTAAAAAAAGATTATGAGTATGTATTCATATGTTCTGCACAAAAGTATAAAAGCTCTATTTCAAAATATTAACATTACTGATTTTTAAATTTTCTTTATACTTACTTTATTTGTGAGATTTTAAAACAACTATGGCGTACTTATGGTCAAATAAATCAGTCTTATTTTAAAAATAACTCAGTTTAAGCCTTGTTGAAGCAATTTACCATGGTGCCTGTCAACCATCATCCTTTTTCATGGACATTTTGCCTATGCTAAACTTACCTTCATTAATCTTAGAGGTTGATGAATTGTCGCTACACTACAATTTTGATGTCCAAATAACTCAACCACTTAAGATTTTAATCTGAGTTTTAACTTAAATATCATTTATCCTTTCTTGGTTCTAGTTGATGATTCTTTATCTCATAACCAAATATACTGAGCTCCCTTATACGTATAAACGGGTTTTCCCAGTTCAAGGCTCTGATTTCTTCTTTTAGATTAGTGTTAAAACTGCATCAACTCACTTCTTGATCAGTAATCCCTGGACAAAAATAGGCCTTGTTTAACAATTCAGCTCAGCTGTGGGCACTATGGGCCCTAATACTCCAAACTGAAGGCACTATCCTACCTGCAGCCAGCTGGCCTTGCCCCAATTCCCTTTACATGAGGCTACTGATACCACTTTGGACCTCAAATCCTCAAGTGGGATATAACATCAGACAAACAGTAAATGCTGAGATCTCAAATAGCTAACAATCTACTTTGAGAGAGAGAGTGTGTGTGTGAATGCACACAGGAGCGGGGAGAGAGTGAGTTTTGATTTTTTAATTAATTTCTTCTATGGGCAACAGAAACACACACACACAGAAACACACACACACACACACAGAGAGAGAGAGGGGGGAGGGAGAGAGGGAGAGAGAGAGAGAGAGATAGAGAGAGAGAGAGAAGCATCCCAACAAGATCTAGTTACCTTAACCCATCCACAGCTTCAGCCAGCCCTGAATCATGAGCATACATTTGATCATCACACTCAGGTCTCTGGATGTGAACTTGAAATCTTTCCATGTGTTTCAGCCTCACAGAGTATCACATTTCACTGCTGTGCTATCATTAGGCTCTCTTGACATTATATCATGAGAGAGCATGGTAGGAAGAAAGAGTGATATGTAAAATTATTATTAATATATTATTATGATGATTTTTTTAATTTGTTATAGGGAACGTGAAAGAGACAGGAAGAAAGAGAGAGAGAAAGAGAAAGCAATCTGCTAGATCTGAGACTCAAACCTCAGTCAGCCATGTGGGAGTCCAGCACCTTAACTACCATGCTACCTGCTGGCCCAAGAGAGTGACATTTTTTTTTTTGGAGAGGTTTTTGCTATAGGGCACGTGTGTTCGCCAGACAGACAGAGAGAGACATAGAGACAGAAAATGAGAAATCTCCCCCCCAGGGGGGATGGTCACGCCACAATCCCTTCTCCTCCATTCTCCTCTCGGGATCTTGGGCACGCACACATGCCCAGCGTGAGTTTTAAGCCACTAGGTCTGGGACGCGAACAGCGGTTGACTACGTGGGAGTTCAGTGACATAGCCATTACACCAACTGCTGGTTCCTGAGAGTGACATTTTTGACATGATCTCGCAACTTGGTGATCCTTTCTGTCCTAGTCTCCCAGTCAGCCAGAACTATAGGCTTGCACCATCAAGCCTGGCCTGTTTTTTATTGGGCTGGGAATCGAACTCAGGCCCTCTATGCAACCTCAGCCATTCTGCAAATGTGCCTGCAACTTTCATCGTCACAGCAGGGCCCAGAAATCTATTTTAATGAATAATTTGAAAAAGATACATTTAGAAAAACACAATCACTTTATCTATGAGAATTACATTGAGATCATATTACAGACTGATCATCTTCAAAATATTCAGATGTCAGGGCCAGGAGGTGGTGCATGGCCCACTATGCTCTTATTTAAAGGATTATCTTTGTGGATATGGAAATTATTAAGAATCATGACAATAATTTGAGAGATAGTGACTGCACCAAGTGCAAAACTCTTAGTAGCATGTACTGTGGAACCTGGCTGTTAGGGTGGGCCTTGGAATGTTCTGGGCCTACCATGCGGCCACAGCCTGTCAAGTAGTGGTGTCAACCAGTGTGCTCTAGCACACTACTATGACTGAACTGCATCCATATTTTTATAATCTCAGGTAA